CCCTTTATTTCACTGGGGTATACTGTTCTAGTTCCACTTGCCATGTCTAATGGATGTCAGTTATCAGTTATCTCCTGTTAATTTTTCCTCTGAAAGTTCTCCACTGCCTTAACAGTGGATAAAGGCGTTGGTTAAATTCAGTGACAGGACCCAAAGAATGTGAGTTCAATACCCGGTTAAGGCAGTGGAGAACTTTCAGAGGGAAAATTAACAGGAGATAACTGATAACTGACATCCATTAAACATGGCACGTGGAACTAGAACAGTCTACCCCAGTGAGCGAAATAAAGGGTTCAGTTCGACATTCCAACCACCTGAAGAAGGCCGGAGCGTACAACGGCCGAAACGTTGTGATAAATATGGTGACAAAGATGAGGACAATAGTCCGAATCATGTAAATAAAATACCGTTTTTTTCTGAAAAAACCTCATCATTGCACACATATTTTGTTGTTCATAGTAATCTCCATATGCATTGTTAGAACCACATCTCTGGCACATCAAGTTCTTTCTTCATTTGTGATGAATTTAAATCGTTTGAATTTCTGGAATGAGGAATTATTATTATTTACACTATTTATATTCAGACTATTGTCTTCATCTTTGTTGTTGTCATCACAATGTTTCCGTCGTTGTACCCTTCGGCCTTCACCCCCCTGGTCTTTTGAACAGGAAGAGAAGTTTATCCTTTGTTCTTTGTTTAGGAATGGGTTTCCGTTTTCATCTTAAGTTTTTTTTTTCTTCTTCTTTCACTTCCAGTATCTCCTTTACATCTTAATGGTATTATCGCCTTGCTAGAGTTGAACTTATTAAAAAGAAAAGAAAAAAAAAAGGTAGGTGTATATCAATCCGGGTAACTTACAGAGAGTTCTGAACTGAACCCTTTATTTAAACTACGTCGACAGACATGGGCAGTGAAACGAGAAAAGTCTACCACCGTAGATTAAATAAAACGTTCAGTTCAGAATACCCTGTAGTTTTCCCCGGATCGATATACACCTGATGAAGGCCGAAACGTTTTGATGATGACAAAAAAGATGAGGACAATAGGACGCATGTAAATATTGTAAGTATGATTAAATTGTCAAATATTCATTAATTTTTGGAAATTAAATGTTACATAGCAGTTCAGCACGATTTTTTTTTTATTCTAACAACATTTTCCGTCAATTCTACGCTAGAATCTGAAATCAAAGTTACACTTTCAGTGAGATTCGAACTCATGTCCCGTTAACCTCGATGAAACCGAATTAACATCCACTTGTTTTACCAAGAAGCTTTCGAGAAGTTGACAGCTTTGCAGAAGAATAAATTTACGCCATTACTCATTACTCAATTTCACGACCACTCTCGACGCCATATTTGTTTGTTTTGTTTTTTTTTCCTTTTATAATCTTTGTATCAGTATCTGCGGCATTACTTTTACTTTGTAATTTTGTAATTAGATACAGCATGGTCAACCATTATTAGTCATTTTTAGTGGTGTTTAACTTTATCTGAAATTTAATTGCTTTTTATTGCAACTTTACACAAGCTGTCAGTTTCACGACAGTCAGTAGATAACGAAGAACGGAAATAAAGGATGAGTTCTCGATCAGATTCGTATTCATCACGTCCTTTTTTGTCTCATTTTAAATAGAATATTTCCTCTTTTTTTCCCCATATAATTAAACTATAATTATAAAGTATAATTTTGGAAAGCGGAAATTCCCCTGAAATATGTAAGAAAATTTCGAAGTTTTCATCTGAAATCAAGAAAATACGAACTTTAATTAAGATGGTCGCATTATCTATCTATCTAAAATTCTGTGACTTCCGTCCGCCCATTCTCACGCCCTCTAAAATAGCGATACATACTGATCGATCGAAACCAAATTTTGGTGAGAAGTGCAAACAGTTAAGTGGGTACAAACTACGGTTAGTTTTACTAAGGTACGTAAAAACCGCGAAGAAGGGTTTTTGCCAAAGTATTTTTACAAACAAATCAGCTTCAAATTTCATTGAAATTGAACCAAACGTAGAGTTTGTAAATTCCGACAAAATTCTGTGATGTTCGTTAGACCAGGGGTTTTCAAACTGTGGTCCGCGGGTCACAGGGGGCCCGCAAGGACAAGATAGGGAGTCCGTGGACAGCAAACACTTTTTTTATGGTCAGGGTGGACCTGGGAACACCAGCAATTACGAGGTGGTTCCACGCTCCTCAAAACCTCCTGATCAGAGGCCTTGCCGTTGGACATAGTTTATCGTATTACCCAGGATGCAGATGTAGTTTATCGTCATACCCAGGACGCGGATGTAGTTTATCGCCATACCCAGGACGTGGATGAAGTTTATCGTCATACCCAGGACGACAGGTTTTGGGGAGAAGTGCAAACAGGTAAGGGGGTTTAAAGTACAGTTGGTTTTACTAGGGTGCATAACTTAGTACAATACATTTTTGGAAAAATTAAAAGGTTTTATTATTTAACATACAAACTAATGCCACTAATAACAATTTAATGATTAAATACTTAATAAAATGCAATTCTGTTTTTGACATATCTTTTTCTTTAAGAATTCAGTTTCCAGTTTGCCTTGCTATAAACAAATCACAAGGTCAAACGTTTCAAAAAGTTGGAATTTGGCTCCAGAAAGAAATATTTGTACATGTCTAGTTGCATATTGAATGCTCAAGAGTAAGAAATCCTGAGAATTTTCTTAAAAATATATTGTTTAACATGAAGTCCTGTAAACTTAAATTAAGATTTTAAAGTAAGATTTTGTCAAAGTATTTTCCAAACATATCAGCTTATTTAAATTTCATCGATTGGTTTGCGGAAAATTAACGAAACGTGGAGTTTGTCAATCTCGACAAAATTGTTGGCGATAACTTCAACAATACTAAATGCTGTGATGATTTTAACACGCGTCAGCATGTTTTAAAAAACTCAATTATCGGGAAAAACGGGCAAGGGAATATAGCTTAAGATGAAAGTAAATACTAGTTAATAAATAATAATAATCTTAAATCAGTCAGTCAGTTATGTGCCATACGCGCTTAAGCGATCATGTATCTTTCGATACATGACTGACAAAGCAATTTTTTCCCGCAGTAGGTTGCCATTCTGCCGTAGACAAGTTGCCATCCAAGGCTATAGAACCAGGTCTGTTCTGCTATTTCCCCATAGCTAGGTGGAGAAGATGATTCATACATTTTCCAAGGGTATTAGCACGTAAGGGAATGACTGGAATTCGAACTCGGCTCTTCGATTCCTTAATCCGAGCCGCTATCCATTACTCCACCGTGTCTCCTAAATCAGTTAGCCTTTATTTGGTTAGTGTGCTGTTCCATCACTTAATAATAATAAGAACCCTTTTCAATATTTGTCTATATTTGTCTATATTTCTGAGATAAGGTGTTGCAACTGTTTACACTATTTACATTGTTCGGACTATTGTTCTTATCTTGTAATATTTACGAATTTTCGGTCGTTGTACGCTCCAGCCTTCTCCGGGTGATATACTTTGGGATTTAGAATCAAACCTTTTATTTCGTTCACCGGATTAAGTTGTTCTAGTTCGACGTGTCATAACTTTTCCGGATAAAAATCCGGTTTCAGTTATTTTTCTTTTAGTAACTCTACTCTCCAAGTTTTTCTTCACCTCTGCTGTGGCCAGGTATTGAACTCACACCTCTTTCGGTCAAATCGACGGATAACTTCAACCAACGCTTTTATCCACTTTGCCATGTGTCTTTGCGGTATATCAGCTGGAGAAGACTGGAGAGTGCAACGGCCGAAACGTCGTAAATAAAGATGTGCAAATGTGTCTGAATAATGTAAATTAGGTACTTCTACTAATTTTCGATACCTAAGGTTTAAAATAATTTTAAAAAAGGGAAAAAGCATTCTTGAAGGTTTCTTTTTAGCTTTAATTGAAAGCTAAATGATTAAATTTACTATTTACAGAAAGCAAAATACTTTGGTATATTCAAATAGAAATTGTATTGATTGGAATCTTAAATTTTGGCCATTTTCAGAAAATCATATAAAATCGTCCATTTTGACACAATTGTAAAAAAAATTTTAATTCATATATATATATATATATATTTTATATAATATTATATATATATATATATATATATATATATATATATACTTTCTGAAACTCTATTTCAGGAATATTAGCTAATTTAAAGTAAAATTAATCTGATTTGAAACAAATATTATTTATTTTAAGTTGAAAATAACATAGAAATGGATTAAAAAAAAACAGTAGCGGTGATTTACGCGCTTTTCATCGCACGTCAGTAACTTAAAAAGCACTGAAACTTACAATATAAAAATATTTTGTGGCTTTAAATAACGTTCAAATGGTTGATAAACAGTACAAAGCAAATCAAATCAACCCAGATGACATGAATAAAGATGCTGAAAATATGGTCAGTTTGTCGTGCGGCTCCAGAATATACTTAACTTTAAGACATTATCTTTACAGAAAAAAAATGGGGATTGCTGCGATATCTGGTCCGGAGATGCTTAGCCCTAACTTTCACACCTTGACAGAGTTCAAAAGAATTTACGCGGCCTTGTGGGTGATGAATTATTTTCAAACTTAGAGCTTCTTCCCAAAGACGCAACGTCACAAGTCTATCACTAGTCTATCGCTATTGTCGTGGAAAATCTTCAGATAAGCTACACTACCTTAGTTACACCAATTGACACATTTAGAGCTCAGACGTGCCATGTTACGTAAACAGGGTCGAATATTTCTCAACCCCTTCAACTTCCATTCGTAAGAAAGAAGTTCCGCTCAGACAGCTTCACGAGAAGTCATATATGAGATTCTTACGTATTCCACACTGGCGCTAATGATCGGGCTTCAATAAAATGTTAATTCAAACGCAGATTTTCGAAGTAGATCTTCAGCACTATAGAGTTTAGTAATATTCTCATTTCCAGTTGATCTTGTGACATGCTAAATCAATCTAATAATATAACGATAAACAAACATTCTGACAGATAGATAGATAGATAGATAGATAGATAGATAGATACGAACAGACATAGATAGATAGATAGTAACACTGGGATAGATAGATAGATAGATAGATAGATAGTAACACTGGGATAGATAGATAGATAGATAGATAGATAGATAGATAGATAGATAGATAGATAGATATGAACAGAGATTATATGAACTGGCTTATAGATAGACAGAGAGAGAGAGAGAGAGAGAGAGTGAGAGATAGATAGATATATACAGAGATTATATGAACTGACTGATAGATAGATTGACAGACAGATAGATATGAACAGAGACTATATGAACTGGCTTATAGATAGATAGATAGATAGATAGATAGATATAGAGAGAGAGTGTGATAGAGAGATAGATATATACAGAGATTATATGAACTGACTGATAGATAGATAGATAGATAGATAGATAGATAGATAGATAGATAGATACTAGAGGCGCAGAACATTTTCTGTTCCGACTGAGATGCTATTCCAAAAAAGAAGAAAACTTAGTCATTTGACAATATTTTTGGAAATGGGTCGAGCTAAGAATTTATCAGCACCCCCTTTCGTAATGAGATAGATGAACCGATTTACACTCACGCCAGTATTTAAATATACATGCTTGAATATGTAGATATGTGCAAATACTCTTGTTTAAAATCGCCATATTGCGAATGTTGGCTGGCTCGTTTCCGGGCTCCGTGTGCGCGCATGCCAGAATCGACTCCCTCGCACCCCCTGGACGTCCCTTCGTTGATCATAAGAAAATCGCCCTTCATAAAATAGCAATTCATTAAAATTTGGCAGTCAATACTATCACAGATGGTGTCGGCATTGTCTCGAGAAAAGACAGACGAGAAGTGAGTGTCATGCAGTCTGACTGGCATTGACGAAGACATGGAAATATAGCGTAGAATAGAGGGAGGTAGGAAAGATAGAAAGAAGAGGGGGTTGTTGTTTTTTTTTTTTGTAATGGAAACAGAAGCGGCAAGATGGAATATGGATATATTCTGGCTGGGGGAGGGGGTTGATGGAGAAGAATTGAAATTTGGCAAAAAAAAAAAAAGAAGGGAAGAAGTTGTATGATAAGGAAGAACGGGAAAAATGAATTTCCATTATGAAAATAGAAACGAAGAAAAAAAGACCGTAAACGTGAGAAGGAAGAACGAAGAAAATGTCGAAAGAGAACGGAACAAGAATGTGGGGGGAGGAAAAAAAAAAGAACGAAAGGAAAAAAAAACGGATTTAAAAAAAAAAAAAATAAAAGATGGTCTTCCCCAATTTTTTGAACAGGACTAGAGGTTTATCCCTTGTTTCCTGTTTAGGATTGGATTTCCGGTTCATTCTAAAGTCTATTTCAATTCTATACTTCCACCATCTTCGCCTGAACTTTGAATTTTTATTTACTAATTGTTTTATTTATTTTTTATTATTTTCTTCTCAACAGAAGTAGATAGGTTCAACTATCGTCTGATTTACACTCCTTGCTGGCCCTTTGAACAGGAGTAGAGGGTTATCCCTTTTTTTTCCTGTTTTTTAGGATTGCGTTTCCGGTTCCTTCTAAAGTCTTTTCATTCTCTTTCACTTCCAGTAGTCCCTTGCATCTTAGTGGCATTATCGCCTTGTGTGGGGTGAATTGCTAAAAAAAAGGTATGGATGAAAGAAGAACAAGTCGAAAGAATCGAAATGGAAGTCATTGGAGAAGAAATTTCAATCAGAACAAGCAAATTAAGACAAAAAAGCATGAACTATAAAGATGGACAAGTGAAAAATCAAAAATTAAAATGAAAAAAACAAACAAACAATGAAGTTAAGAAAGACTAACAAAACTCCTTTTAACACCAAAAATGAACTGAAGAATGGTTAAACAAGGTAACCACCCAGAAGAGTTGCAGAAGATTCCGAAGTCGACTGGAGGCTGTGGTTGAATTTTACTGAATAAATTTACTCTTTAGTATTTCAAGATATTTTTGTGTAATTTTGGTAAATATATCTGTTCAAATGCGATGTCATTACTATTTTCATTTTTTGCTTAATTTAGACGATAATTTATTCATTGCGCCCACTACACTTATACATAAAATATACAATATATACACTCCAGTATCAAATTGAGACAATAAACACAATATCCAGTATATACACTTATTTCATGCTCACAAATTTATGCTCTATTTATATATAGATAATTAGGAATGATCACTTGAAGCGAATGCATGCGCCAACACCCTGCAGGAGCCCCTCGACACTCTTAGATGAGGATCAATCAGTTATGTGCCATGCGTGATACACGCTCAAGCGATCATGTATCTTTCGATACATGATTAACGAGGCAGATTTTTTCCGCGGTAGGTTGTTATTTTTTTCTGCATTAGACCAGTTGCCATCCAGGAATATAAAAGCCGGTGTGTCCTGCTATTTACCCATAGCTGCAGGGAGAAGAGGATTCATACCTTTCCCAAGGGTGTTAGCACGTAAGTGAATGTAATGGATTCGACTGGAATTCGAACTTGGCTAATATAATATGATAATAAGTGAATGCTCTTTACACCTGATCTGATTAATTAATCTTATATGAGACTGGGATTTTGTTCACTCTTGTGATAAGATGGTGGGATTTTGTTCACTGGGTATTTTGTCATTGATTCGGCATTTTTATTCACGAGTGATCAACTTTTGAACACCATGAATAGTGTTATTAATTTTTAGATAGAATTCTATCTCAGTGAATGAACGGCACAGATCCGAAACAAAAAAATTAAGATGTCAATCCTCACTGTCTACCGACTAGCGTTGATTGACGGTCCAAGTTAATTTTTGATAAGAAAATGAAATTAAATGCTAATCAAAAAGTAATAATAGCTGATAATACTTCATGTAATGAAAAATGAAAATGATACTGCCACTAAAAGCGACTTTTTCCGAGTATAGCAAATATACCTTTAAAAGTAATCTTGATGAGTTTCGTGAGACTGACACCAATAGAGGTGTGGGTGGATACTACTGGGATCTGCCAGAGGGAATTTTCAAACAAATATAAAAACAAAAAATGGATATCAATTTGAGACTGAAATTTCATTTGAAGACATAAGCAATTTATTTAAGGTGATTTAAAAAAATTTTGAAGTTCAAATTAAGAAAAATTTTTTCTAAAGCTGTTTCGTGTAAATAGTTTTTGAATGATTGTCGTGTATCTTAATTTTTCAAAATTTTTGTTTTTGAATTTAAAAAAATTGATGGTTAGTATTTCAAAAATATATAAAATAGTTTTTTTTTTTAAATTGTTAAATGCGTATTTTTCTTGGTGTTCTCTTGAGATGTTTATGAATGCATAAATAAATAACTTAGCAATGAATCCAATTTCAGATAATTTCTAAAACGATGATAATTATTTAAATATTTTTAGAAATAAACTATTTTTTGTTTGTTTTTTAAAGCGATTTTATGTTTACTAAAAAGTGATTTGATGAATATTTAAAAATCAAAAACGATATTCAGTATTTTAAACTTGTTTTTTTTTTAAATTGGTAAATGGGTATTTTTCATTGTGTTCTGTTGAAATACCTATGGGGACATAAATAAAATAAATAATAAGTAATTGCGTCTGCTATTTAAGTTAACATTTATTAAAAGATTGCCTTGCATGAATCTTCCAAAAGCAGGGCAAGGAGTTTTCAATTCAGTTTTACTATATCTGGATTTTATACAAGATTGAATTCCCCACTCTGCATATTTTCGAAGAGACTTTTGTAGATTGATTAAAGATTTCCTTTCAGCTTTCGTCTTTTAAAATGTTCAACTAAATACAGGGTCTGTCTATATTTCTGAGATGAGGTATTATGTAAATTATTTACACTATTCGGACCATTGTCCTCATCTTGGTCGCCATATTTATCACAACGTTTCGGCCGTTGTACGTTCCGGCTTTCTTCAGGTGGTTGGAATGTCGAACTGAACCCTTTATTTCGCTCACTGGGGTAGACTGTTCTAGTTTCACGTGCCAAACTTTCAGAGGGAAAATTAACAGGAGATAACTGATAACTGACATCCATCAAAACATGGCATTTGGAGGATGTCACTTTTAAAACGTAATGAATAAAAATCATAGCCCCTCTAGAAATCTTCTACAACAGTGTATGGCGAATAGAGGCCACCATTTGAAGGATGTCATTTTTAAAACGTAATGAATAAAAATCATAGCCCCTCTAGAAATCTTCTACAACAGTGTATTGCGAATAGAGGCCACTATTGAAGGATGTCATTTTTAAAACGTAATGAATAAAAATCATAGCCCCTCTAGAAATCTTCTACAACAGTGTATGGCGAATAGAGGCCACCATTTGAAGGATGTCATTTTTAAGACGTAATGAATAAAAATCATAGCCCCTCTAGAAATCTTCTACAACAGTATATGGCGAATAGAGGCCACCATTTGAAGGTTGTCATTTTAAAACGTAATGAATAAAAAATCATAGCCCCTCTAGAAATCTTCTACAACAGTGTATGGCGAATAGAGGCCACCATTTGAAGGTTGTCATTTTTAAAACGTAATGAATAAAAATCATAGCCCCTCTAGAAATCTTCTACAACAGTGTATGGCGAATAGAGGTCATCATTTGGAGGATGTCATTTTTAAAACGTAATGAATAAAAATCATAGCCCCTCTAGAAATCTTCTACAACAGTATATGGCGAATAGAGGCCACCATTTGGAGGATGTCATTTTTAAAACGTAATGAATAAAAATCATAGCCCATCTAGAAATCTTCTACAACAGTGTATGGCGAATAGAGGCCACCATTTGAAGGATGTCATTTTTAAAACGTAATGAATAAAAATCATAGCCCCTCTAGAAATCTTCTACAACAGTGTATGGCGAATAGAGGCCACACTTTGAAGGTTGTCATTTTTAAAACGTAATGAATAAAAATCATAGCCGCTCTAGAAATCTTCTACAACAGTATATCGCGAATAGAGGCCACCATTTGAAGGTTGTCATTTTTAAAACGTAATGAATAAAAATCATAGCCCCTCTAGAAATCTTCTACAAAAGTATATGGCGAATAGAGGCCACCATTTGAAGGTTGTCATTTTTAAAACTTAATGAATATAAATCATAGCCCCTCTAGAAATCTTCTACAACAGTATATGGCGAATAGAAGCCACCATTTGAAGGTTGTCATTTTTAAAACGTAATGAATAAAAATCATAGCCCCTCTAGAAATCTTCTACAACAGTGTATGGCGAATAGAGGCCACCATTTGAAGGTTGTCATTTTTAAAACGTATTGAATAAAAATCATAGCCCCTCTAGAAATCTTCTACAGCAGTATATGGCGAATAGAGGCCACAATTTGAAGGTTGTCATTTTTAAAACGTAATAAATAAAAATCATTGCCCCTCTAGAAATCTTCTACAACAGTGTATGGCGAATAGAAGCCACCATATGAAGGATGTCATTTTTAAAACGTAATGAATAAAAATCATAGTCCCTCTAGAAATCTTCTACAACAGTATATGGCGAATAGAGGCCACCATATGAAGGATGTCATTTTTAAAACGTAATGAATAAAAATCATAGCCCCTCTAGAAATCTTCTACAACAGTGTATGGCGAATAGAGGCCACCATTTGGAGGATGTCATTTTAAAAACGTAATGAATGAAAAAAATCATAGCCCCTCTAGAAATCTTTCTACAACAGTGTATGGCGAATTGAGGCCACCATTTGAAGGATGTCATTTTAAAACGTAATGAAAAAAAATCATAGCCCCTCTAGAAATCTTCTACAACAGTGTATGGCGAATAGAGGCCACCATTTGAAGGATGTCATTTTTAAAACGTAATGAATAAAAATCATAGCCCCCTCTAGAACTTTCTACAACAGTGTATGGCGAATAGAGGCCACCATTTGAAGGATGTCATTTTTAAAACGTAATGAATAAAAATCATAGCCCCTCTAGAAATCGTCTACAAGAGTGTATGGCGAATAGAGGCCACCATTTGAAGGATGTCATTTTTAAAACGTAATGAATAAAAATCATAGCCCCTCTAGAAATCTTCTACAACAGTGTATGGCGAATAGAGGCCACTATTTAAAGGATGTCATTTTTAAAACGT